TTATCAACATTATTACAGACAGTATAAAATAGGAAACATACTTTCAGAGTAACCTATAGAATTTTTTTTTAATTGTATTTCTTTTATAGTCATACTTCTTTATTTTTAGGTGAGACTGCCTCCAATTTTATTTTACTTTGAATATTTTTATTTACTTTTACTTGAAACCACCATAATTGATATTATTGTTTTGTTTTTATATACTGCTACTAGTAGTATAATATTATCCTGAAGTTTTTTAGACAGTGTCAACCATTCTTTTACTAGTATTTCTTTCATTTTAATTTCAGTTCATTGAAACTACTGTATATACTTGTGTATTGTGTGAGTTTTTATGATCAGCTTACACAAAAAATAGGGGGTTAGAATATACGCAGGCTATTTTTTTTGAAGAGGTTAAAAATCTTGTATTTTCGTTGACCGTAAACTATCTGGTAGGCCTAGATTTTCACTGTAGCTATCTTTTTATGTGCCATGTCCTTTCAGGATGTAGGCAATCATGGCCCTACACCTCCCTCTATCCCTTGCAGCTCTCAGCATGCTCCTTCCCTCTGCTTCCTCCCCCAGACCACATCCTGTCATCCACCTGCTCAAGCTCATCAGGTATGTCATGTGCTGCTTTCCCTTGTCTCTCTTTTCTTCTATTTGATCCGTGAGTATCATATTCTCCAGGCCCTCCTTCCTCATTATGTGTCCCAGAAACTTCAGTTGCCTCTTTCTGATGTTAATTATAAGCCTTCTCCTTGTTTGTAACCTCTCTAAGACCTCATCATTGCTCACATTCTCAGTACATGATATCCTTAGCATCTTTCTGTAGAACCTTGTTTCTGTTGCCTTGAGTCCCTTCTTTATCTTTGAGGAAATAGTCCAACATTTGCTGCCATAAAGAACAGATGTCACATAGCAGCTCAGTATTCTTTTCTTTGTTACCAAAGAGATCCTCCTGTCTTGCAATACTTTGCTCAGCTCTTGGAATGTGTCCTTGGCCATCCCAATACGTCTGTGGATCTCAGTGTCGCAATTACCATCTTCTGTCAAGATGCTTCCCAGATATTTAAACTTCTGCATCTGCTCGATTCCAGTGTTCCTGGCCTGCAAATCGCAGGTAATTAATACTAGAATCAAGCAGATGCAGAAGTTTAAATATCTGGGAAGCACAGTGAACTTTAACAGCACAGGTAAACTCATTTAGCCTGCCCTACCTCCCATTACCTAAATTCTTTCTTTCTGTTGCTACATGAATGTCATTCACTAAATGTGCTGCTTAAAATCTACAAATACCTTATATAAATGAAGAATTAACAATATTTTTTCCTTTCTCCAATTTGCATTCATTTTTATTTGCATGTTTTTATATCACCAAGGTATCGCTTTTCTAATGGCACTATTTCTGTCTGATATGTATGTATACCATATGTTTCAGTTGTCTTCCTTATTCTGTCTTCCTCTGTTTATTTATAATTATTTTTTTAAAAAGTCCAGTATCTAAATCTTCATATCAGATATTTTATGGTAGCTTTGTACAAAAAAAGAATGGAGACCATTTATTTGCTATAAAATATGTCCAAGACGATGCCTAGTAGTACAATATTTGATAATGGTAGGCCTACTAGTATTGCTCAGAAGCTGGGGGTCATATTATACACAAGTTATATAAAAAAAAATTTTTTTTTTTTTTTTTTTACAAAAAATTGATGGGTTGCAGTATACATGAAGTAAATATGGTACTCAAACTATCACCCTTATGTGAAAGAGTGGCATTTAGGTCTCTTATATCATGGACTATCATGAATACAGTGAAGATGAACATTTCAGATTAAATTAAAGAACTTTCAGATCTTTATCTGAGATCAGTTCTAAAGTAAAGGATTTTTTTTCCTTACTAGAGTTCACCCAATACAAGGCTCAAGATTCACGGAATGGGACATATGATAGGAATGTAAGACAAGGTAGGGGGAAGTGAAGCTTATGAGGATAAGGAGGATACATGATTGACCCTTGACTTGAAGAGATTAAAATTGTATTCTTGAGAAAATGCTAAATGGAATTTCCAACTGGAATACAGAGGAAATGTGGGTAATTTGACTGCACAGATATAGCATTCATTTCTAGGATGTGTGAAGCAATATTAACAATTCAACCAACTATAATGTATAACTTCAAAGGAGATGTTAAAACTTACAATGGAATACTACAAGTTCTGCCAGGTTTGTAAATTTATACAAACATACAATACCAAAAGAGTTAAATATAAATTTAACTTTTCTCAGACACACTAATTCCAAACAAACAGGCATGTGGAAATTAATATAAAATACCCTGAAGTAATGACCTTAAAATTATATCCTGATTACAATACTTTAATTTATTTGTAATAATTCTGTTTGTATTGTTCAATTATCCATAAACATTGTGTTTTATTAATGGGACAGTTACTAGTATCTTTTATTTGGGCTCTTAACCTTTGTCAGTCAATCAATAGTCTGCAGAGGCAAAGGAATAAAAACAGAATATAATTATTACAACAGTTTTAGATTTACTCTCTTGGCTGTTTGCCAGGATTTTTTTCTCTAAATAATTCTGTCTAGAATTGCATTAAATGCATTACAAGCAGGCACACTCAAATCTGGTCAATAAACAAGTTCATACACTACTGATACACAAAACAGCAGTTTGTTATTTGTTAAAATTCTATTTGAAACTAAATCAACTTGCAAAAGGTATCAGGAAAGAAACAATACTTTCTTCCTAAAACAGTTACTGATAAAGATTTAATCAAAAAAATAACTAATAAACTAAGTGCTTAAGATTGTAAAATTATCTGAAGAGATTCCTCAACTTTTAAGTCTGAAGAAAAAAGAATGGAAGTAACTCTGAAAAACAATTCTAATTACTGATTTTTCTAACATTCTGATATACATCCATGTCATTCCTTAAACATTATAATTTTCTTTTTGTGTAAGACTGAAAATTTTATATAGTATTTATTAAGCAAATATATCAACATCTTTATTTTCTCTGTTGATTTAAGATTCTGATTATATTCAATGGGGGAATGAAATAATAAGCACCATTGTATTTTAACACCAACTGCATTTTCACCCAGTAAATGTAGGCAAGATTTCAACTTTCCTTATCTCTTCCCACTGACTTGACTCATACTCCATCACTCCTCTGATTCACTAAAATCATTTTCTGCACAAACTAAATATTTTTCTCAGAAAGGGAGAAAAATGTTCATGTGCCAAAGTTTTGACTTTAGATTTATTTGAGTAAATTTTGACACTCCCTATATTGCTTTTTTAAAAGCAAGAAGAAGGCAATTTTTAGGGATTAGAAATGAAGTTAAGTGTGACTGACAATCAAAATAGGTCTATTATATAATGTTAAAGTGTGTAAAATACAATTATGCATATAAGTAAATATATCAGATAATTATAATATACTTTACAGATAATGTTTCAATGATGATAAAATATCAAAATATTAGCAGAATCAGTTCCAAATTATGTTTTATCAGTCAAATATTAATTACCAACAATTATGCATTTCAAAGTGACTTCCATTCTTTGTTTTAATTTTGTATGCTAATAATGATCCTATCTTATAAGTTAGGCTTTGATGTTTGTCAGAATGAAGATCAATATATAGATTTTTGTCTGAAATTCTGTAATGAAGTAGTTATTTCTTAATGATTTTGTTGATAACATCTTCATCTTTATTGTTTTTATTACTACATTGTTGGTCAGTGTCCTATTTGGTCCTTCAATAATTTTCCCTTGCATATACTCCTATTTTAAGAGACAATGAGGAATATTACCAATTTATTGAGAGTGCACAGTGAATCTATTGGGACTCAAGTTCAGATTTCAAGTGAAACTCATAGTTTAATTGTTTAAAGAACTGCTAACAGTGCAGCTTAAATGTAATCATGCTTTGCAATAATATATTTCTATTTATCCAGATGATACCACAGTTTAATGGCACATCCGCAGAAGTTTAGATGCCTGGCAGTTGATCCTCTCTAACCTTGCTTGCACAGCTCAATGAGAGAAAACATTCAATACCTCCAAAACAAAGCTAGTAATGTTTCATCATCATCAAGCAGATACTGAATTTTCTCCAGTCATGATGAATGATTGTACTCAATGAGGCTCCTTGATTTGAATATTCACCCCAGGCTTCAAGGGGAACTCATATATAGAATCCTTTGCTAAAAAGGGGTAGAAAATATATAAGCTAGAGCTGCCCAATTCTCTCTTTCTCACCTTAACAGTTCAAAAGTGTTTACACAGCCTTGTGAGTGATGAATTATTTTCTAACTTAAAACCCATTTCCCACAGATTTAATGCTGCAAGCCTCTTGCTACTATTTCTATTTTCACATGAAATAACAAGTAACATTCCCTAGTTCCAGGAGTTCAGACCTTTACAGCTAAGATCTGACATATGTACACAGTAGCAAACCATCCTTGTTCCCTTTATATTCCATTGTTAAGAAGGAAGTTCATTTTGTGGAATTAAATCCTGAGTGGATGCTTCTCCAGCCACTACAATATTAACCTCTTTAAGTCCAGAGTCAACTCTTATCTATCTTTCATAATCTACCTTTAAACATTGTGGACTGGCACTATAGAATCACAAAGAAAGAAATGTACCAAATAACAGAAACTACATCACTTGTGGACTACCTACAGCAGCAACAACTAAAATGGATAGCACATGTATCTCAAAGAGAGACATTAATATTCCACACTACTTTGAATAAAAGGTTAGAAAGGATACCATCTCAATGCTAGAAAGAGGGATAACAGCTACTGGACTTGAATAAGCCTATTATAAGTTCCTAAAGTTTATTACTATTTTGTATCAAGCTGAGCACAACTGGAGAATGCATGATATAAGCAAAAATGAGAATATTAGAATGAAAACATGTTTGAATGTGATTAATACACATTTTTCTTACAATCCTCTATCAATTCTGTTTTTTTTTCTTTACAGCTCAGCCAGATTTTGGGCCACAGTGATCAGTTGTATGTCCGACTGCCAAATGGGCTAAGAGTGTGGCAGTTTATGCTGGCATTGTTGTTCACAGTCATTGCAGCATGGGTAAGTTTCATTTTAGGAGAAGAAACTAACTTATTTAAAAGCTCATAATAATAATGATAATAATAAAAAAAAACTATTTCCATGGTGTTGGTAATAATGTGAATGAATTCTTGAAAAGTTTCATAACTGATAAATTAACAAACAAGAAAAAAAATTTTATTATTACATTAACATTGCTGAAATGTTATTATATAACCATAAACATTATATTTATAGATACACAAGTTTGAGTTGATGCCCTGGTTGTTTTTTCTTAATATGTTGAAACAGAGTGGCCAGTATACCAGCCACTGTGTGAAGGTATATATACTGTAAACATCAGAGTTCAAAGAGTTAACAGTTTAAACAGTATCTGCTAACCTGTGCATTCAAGAGACTTAATTTCCTTAAGAAATTAAGTTTCTCAAATGCACAGGCTGGTAGATGTAATACATACTGTTCAACATAAAACAAATGAAAACCATGGTATCAACTCAAACACACACATATATATATATATATAATTATTTTTTATAAAAAAATTATAACATAAGTATGTTATAAAATCACTACAAAAATAGCCATTTTGTTTCAACACACTCTGTGTCTTATCAAGTGATGATGTTGAAAAGAAAATAAATGGTTTTAAAACTTTCAGATTAATTAACGATCCTACACTAGGGGGAAACATTGTTACAAAAGCTAGAATAACCAATCAAAAACGAAGTATAGAAAGATTCAAAAGCTTGACAACGAAATCATGCTATAATAGCTTTTCAGATCTTTAAATACGTGTAATATTAACCATTTATTTTCTTTTCAACATCATCACTTGATAAGACACAGAGTGTGTTGAAACAAAATGGCTATTTTTGTAGTGATTTTATAACATACTTATGTTATAATTTTTTTATAAAAAATAATTATATCTGCTCTACTTTGTAATGAGCACTCTTTTAAGAATAGTAATTGTTGGTTATTGGAATTCATTCCGTATATACCAATTATATACTTTGATAGATATATATATATATATATATATAGTGTGTGTGTGTGTTTAAACCTCTATATACCAGGCTCTGCTTTGTGGTTAAGATAATTAACTGCTAGAGTCAGTGGAAAACAGTGATCATGCCTGAATAAAAGCCAGGATTTTTAATGCTATTTTAGAAGGCATTTAAAACATTGGCACTATACATTCCACCTCTTTCATTTGACCTTATACCAGACTATGCTAAACTTTGTTAATTTCAACTATATATATATATATATATATATATATATACACACACACACACACACTTTATTTCAGGGAATTACATCGAAAACATGTCAAAATCCCTACATAATTGCACTCATGTTTCAATGTGCATATAATGCATCTCAAGTCATTGTAAATTACAATGTAATTTACAATCACCTGATGAGATGTGTTGTAGGTGCATCAAAACATGACGGCAATTGTGTAGTGATTTTAACATGTTTTCGATGTAATATCATAAAATAAAGAATATTGCTCTAGTTTATACTGAGCCCTCTTTTAAATTAAATGTTATAAATATTGGAATTGTACTCTTCATTCTCATCTTACCAAAATATATATAATATATATAAATAAAATTGCTAGACAGATATAAAATACACCAGACTATGCCAAACTTAATTTTAACATACACACACATCATTTATTTATTTTTATTTTTATATATACATACACACACATTATATGTAAAGCTTTATTCACTTCAATACACACTATCTCAACTGCCACAAATTAAATTAGTCACTATAGGTTAATTTATTGTTTGGACATACCTTTCTTTATTGAAAATAAAGTATATATTTATTACATTCAGTCATCAAGGTATTTTATACATTCTTTAATATCCTAACCATGATTCTATTGGAATAGTCATTTTCTGTGTTATAAGGTCCAGGATCAAATAGGGTTAGATTTTTCAATGGACAACTTCTATTCCCTAACTCCAATGTTTTAGATTTTCTTTTTAACATCTTGCTACACAGATTTATTATGAACATATATTTGCTCTTATTGTTTTTATATTTATATTTTATAAATTGTATCTAAGTCATGACATGTTTAGGTATCTACATGTCAACTATTGGTAATAAAATGAACTTTTAAAATTTTTGATCCATGGGTGTACTTCTCTCTTGACTTTTTAAATATTAATTTCAAAGATTAACAGCTATAAATAATTAAGGTTAGCAATAATTATATATATAGATATGTGTGTGTGTGAGAGAGATGAAGATAGATAATTAATTTCCTGTTTATTAATTAATTACTTTGAAACTAATTTTAAAGTAAAGATAAACCAAAACGTAATATTTACTTGAAATGCCTATTGAATTATACATGATTCAATCTTAACTGTAGAGGCTAGAGATAATATTAAGAGTAGGATTACTTAATGAAAACGTATTTGAAAATTAAGCAATGATTATTTTCTCATGTGAATTTTGATTAATAAATCCTTAAATTTGGAATATAGACAAAATTTCAGTTTTTCATGTTTGTCCCATACCAGTTTTATAACAGGCCTAAATAGATGAATATGTACTAACATGAACAAATCTTTTTCAGTATTGAATATTATATATATATATATATATATATATATATAACTTATAACTGAAAGATTCATGTAACATTATTTATTGGGTTGTGAAAACCTTTCCAGCATCATTTTTAGCCCAATGTTAAGGAAATTTTAGTTCTTTATTAGTGCCTGCATACTTAGGAATTGTTTTTGGAAAAGATACTTTTACTTAATTCGATGAAAGTTATAATTGAATATAAAATTAGATACTCCTTATTCTTTATAATTAATGTGAGGAAAAATTGCAGCTGAAGCTTGAAAACAGATAAGTGAAACTTAGAGCAAGCAATGATGCAGTAAATGTAAGCATGTGTCATGACTGGTTTGTCAAGATTTAGAGCTCAAGGTCAATGTTGCAGAACTTGAAAACTGATAAAGTCGAGGAACTTTTGAAAGAAGATACAATACAAGAACCACATGAAATTGCAGAAAAATTAGAATTTAATTTGTCAACTGAAGTACATCATTTATAAGCCACATAAGAATTTCAAAAATTAAGAAAATGGAGATCATGTGAAATTATGGAAAGAAACATTGGTTAACATTCTTGATTTTTTTCTCTTCTGCTCAATCCAGGAAAACATCATTTTTTGATGAGATAGTTGCTGGCAATGAAAAATGGATTTATTATGAGAATGTAGGAAATATTATCTAAATCAGTCATCTCAACCTAAACAGAATTGAAGGCCTCTGATGGAATTCAAAGTTGAAGTTTTATTACCATTTACAGAAATTTTGATAAATTGTTAAAATGCAGTATTACAGGGAGCAACTGGCTGGCAAATATTATTTTGGAAGCAATTTATTGATTGATTTGTTTTTTTACAATTTATTAACCCTTTGTGGGTTATTTAAAGCCAAAACATTTTGAATTGTAAGAATAAATTTTTTGTGAGTAACTATTGCATTAACAATTGCTTTTAGAATAACAATGATTTTTTTCCAGATACAAGTCCTGCTGTTTAGCCCATAGCTGGAGGGAAGAGATAAATTCATAACTTTCCCAAGGGCATTTGGACATAAGTGAATGTAACCAACCTAACTAGAATTCAAACTCCGCTCTTCAATTTCTCATTCCAAGCCACTATTTTGGAACAGAAAAGAATTTCTGATCAAGATAGTTGATTAGTTATTTTTCTACATGTTCTTCCACACATAGTATGTTCTCCAGATTCATTACCTTCATACCGTTAACCCTGTCACTATTCACCATGCTGTTTTTCTGTACCAAAAAGTCAAATATATCAAAAAATTCTTTAATGGTAATATTAGCTCTTTACCTACAAGGAAATATTTGGCATTCATTGACTGAGCAGCCAGTACTGCTCATTTTTTTTTTTTTTTTTTACAGTAAGGTTAACACTGTATAAGGCCCGGAGGTCACTCAAGGTAGAGGGTTACATTAAGGAGTAGTTTATATGGATAGGAGAGGAAGATAATGGTTGATTCTACACTTGAACAGGTTAAGATTGTAGTGAAGTGATCAGGGAAACAGCCTCTTGGGAGTCTGTTCCATAGAGCAGTGGTTCACAGAAAGTTTTGAGTGGAACTTACTTCTCACCAATGGAATACAGAGGGAATGTGGTGGGGGGCAAGTGACAATGGTAGGTCCTAGCTGTAAAATTCAGAGCTGGCGGAACCAAGAAATGCAGTTTGTCCAAGAACTTTCCATAGTGGTAGCAATAGAGCAGTGAGAGACTCACTACTGTGAGAGAGAGGTTGGAGGGTGGAAAGTAATTTTTCTCCAACAAGGACTCGGAGATGCTTTTGAATGCTATCAAGAATTCTATCCCGCCCAAATATGGCAAGATTACTCCATTTTCAGTCTGATGTGGCTCTTATAAAGGTAGAGGATAGCATGAGGAGTCAGGTACTTACTGGAGCAGTACAGGGAGCCAATCATTTTACCTGCATCTTTAGTGATGGATTGCATATAGGTGTTCCACTTGAGGTTAGGTGTAAGCTTGAGGCCCAATATCCTGGAGGAGACATTCGTTCATCATGATGCTTGGTAGTTCGGGGTCTGATTGGAGGTGATAGAATATAACCAGTTTGGTTTTAAAAGCATTGAATGTAACCAGCCAGTCTTTTCCGCCCCCCACTGAGAAGTTAGTGTCAGATTGGAAGATAGGTTGGCTTGCCAGTCTCTCATCATCAAGAGTTTTAGAGGTGCACTCATATATTGTCGTATCATTGGCATAGATATTTACAAATGATCAGAGTATGTTCTTAGGTAGATCATGTAAGTCAGAAAGAGAATTGGTCCAAGAAGTGACCACTAGGGCCTCAGAAGACTGGCTGTTAATAACTACCTTCAGGGATTTACCTGTTAGGAAGGATATTATAATGGAGAGCTTGTGTAGCAAAACTTGGTGCCACACCTTGTCAAAGGCCTTT